CCCATTTGTTGTTGTATCTTCTGCTTAGTTTTGTTTGGGGGATGCCTTCTAGAAACCTACCAGTGTTGTGGCATGACTCAAGGAAATGTCTGTACGCAAATATTTTAGCACTATTTCCATTTTATATTTTTACTTTTATTTTGCCTTCTTCTTCCATCCACAAACTTAATTTAGTAGCAACGTCAACACCACCACCACACACTCACACACATGCACACACACATTTTCATATGTCATCTTAAATCAGTTTGGTACAATGTGGGAGACAAATAAAAAACATTCATGATAAGTACACTGATAGTGCAAATTACCCAACATATGTTCCTGCTGAATCCCAGAGCTAGAAATAAAAACACTTTTCCTTTATTTGTGCTGATGCTGTAAAAATAAAATAGAAATAGTTGTTTGACAACTAGTGGCATTCTTGCTTTAATCACAATTTCCTTATGAGAATTTTTAATAATATCATATAGGGATTAAGCATATAATTCAATCCATAGATTAAGATGATGCTCTTAGATACTTCATAGTAGTGTTCTTACATCAATGAATAGCAGAGAAATATGTTTTTTTTGCAATTTTATAAGATTAATTTGCTTGATTTTTTTCTTCCAAAAAGTAACAGCAGCTAGAAAGACATTTCAACATTTCAGAGCATTTGTTGCTCTTGAAGAGGACTCAGGTTCAGTTTCCAGCCCCACACTATAACTCAAAATCATCTGAAACTCTAGGGAGCTGATGCCCTGTCTGGCCTCCATAGGCACCAGGCAAACAAGTGGTACTCATGTATACATGCAAGCAGTACACTAATACATTAAAAGACAACAATGAAAACATACTCCCTGTCTTAGTTAGGGTTAGTATTGCTGTGATGAAATACCATGACCAAAAGCAACTTGGGAAGGAAAGGCTTTATTTCACTCACAGTTCTCTATAACAGTTCATCATCAAAGCAGTGAGGAGGGGAACTCAAGCAGGGTGGGAACTCAAGCAAGGCAGCAACTCAAGCAGGGCAGGAACCCAGAGGCAGGAGCTGATGCAGAGGCCACAGAGGGGTCTGCTTACTGGCTTGCTCCCTATGGCTTGCTCAGTCTGCTTTCTTATAGAACTCAGGACCACCAGTCCAGGGATGGCACCACCCACAATGGCTGGGCCCTTTCCCTTCAATCACTAATTAGGAAAACGCCCTACAGACAGTACTTATTGGAGGTTTTTTTCTCAGTTGAGGTTCCCTCCTTTCAGATAATTCTAGTTTGTGTAAAGTTGATATAAAATCAGTAAGTACACTACCTATGCCTACATATATTATTAATTTTGTTTCTTCCTTGTGTACTTCTATAATTTTGTCTTAGAAATATCAGAAAGAGTAAAAATCATACTGCCCTGACACAATTAGAATGTATTTAAATATTGGTCTCTAGATACGAAACCGTGCAAGGACACAGCTGTGCTCTCCACTGGTTCTGTATTGTCTGTGGCTGCTTTACCACACAGCTACTGAGTAGCTAGCTGTAGCAGACAACCCACAGCCTAAAAAACAGAAAGATCTATCACTTTAACCTTCACACAAAAGCTGCTCAGACTCCAGCTGAAGAAGCTGCTGACCATTCTTCACTATCACCAAGTCATGGACATCATGGACATGCTTGCTAGAACAGTGGGGCTGCTGTGTTGCTGAGATGTACCAGTCAGCCCTGCTTGCTGCCAGGGAGAGTTTAACAAGAAATTTGAGAGCCACTGTTGTCAGCAGGGTGCTGACTGGGCTCAGTAGCTGCCTGTTCTGACAAGTTCTTCCTCAGAAGCATCAAACTCCTTATGTAATCTCCACAGCCTGCCAGCAGGCTTGCTGACTGTTTCACCTCCCCCCTCTCCCTCACGTTTTGCTGTCATTGCCTTTCTTTTGTTTAGTACTGTTCTAAAAATGACATCCATAGAAATGATATTGATGACACAATATTGGGCCTATTACTTCTCTTCCAGCAAATTATGGCCAGTCAAATATATCTGTACCTCATCTCCTATATTTATTCAGCTTCTCACTAAGTACAAATTTCCCCCAGATGAAAAGAAAAAATAGAAAGCATTTTGGCAATTTGAACTTATTGAAGGAATTAGAATTCCAAAAGTCTTCCTGAGGGTGAATTTAGGGTGAATTAAACTAAGTTTTGGAGTGCCAAAGAAGTGTTTGGACATGATACTTGATATAGGACATGCACTCAATACAGGAGCATCCACTGATGTGACAAATATTTATTTCTCTATTTGATTGATGCTTTTACAACTCTTTCCAACCATATCTGCTTTGGAACAGTTTAGTGCTGGATGACTTGGTGAGAAAAAAAAGGAAACTAAGAAATAATAAGTTATACCTTAATAAAGGGAAAAAGAAACCAAGTTAATTGGCATGAAAAAACAATGATATAGATTGGGAAAGGAAGGTATAGTGCTTCAAATGGCAAATGTCTTGGTAACATGAGCACCAATATTACTATCAATAATTAAAATAATTATGATAAATGTTACTGATATTAGTATTTTTTCACATGGGCATTCAATATGATAAAATGACTTAACGTTTAACTTCCATAGAGCTCATCTGTTTAGGAGTGGGATTAATAATCTTTGTTTTTCATGCAGAAAAAACATGGGAGAGAAGTGCATCTACTGGGATAAAGGAGTTGGTGGCAGCATGCAGAAATACACTCTAATAATTGTTTTTCTAAATTGTTTTGACTGGATTCTCTTTGTCCTGTGATATTCTTCTTGCCTCCTATCACCAAAGAAAGCATGCCACTCAGATATTGTGGAGATCAGGAAAGGAAGCTAGAGTGGTACCTTGTACACACACACACACACACACACACACACACACACACACACACACACACCAGATCTGATATTCCTTCGCCATTTTTTAATTCTTTATCAGTTCTCTTTATCATCTCTCTTTTCTCCCTCTTCTCCATTTATTTCAAAAGTCTATTTATTATTTAAAGAATCTATCATAAAACTAAAACATGCATAGATTCAAATGAAAGTTTGGTTCATTTGTTATTCTCCTTCTTACTGCTAATAATTCAGCTCCTCCTATATTTTTATTATGCATACACCATATAATTATCTTAAATGATAGAATGTAAAATACATCTCATTCGTATTCATCATCATATATTTTACTAAATGGATAATTGACCACTTCACGTTAATACAAGCAGATTTGCACTCATCAACTTAGTGACTGCCTTGCTTGGATTTCTGTCTGTATTAAAAAAGCCACTGTCAAGCACACACAACTTATACTTCATATCTCAGCATAATAACCATATACTTTTGGCTATTCTATCCTGATTTCTCTAACATAAACTTATATACTTTATCTGGCATGCATGAACATTCATTGGTAACCTTCCCTCCCTGTTTCAACCCCAATGTCTTGCTTACGTCTGCTATATGCATCTCCTTTCTTCTGCAACAGATGAATAGCAAGCATCCAGAGATAGATGGGACAGGAATCAGGCTGGGGAACTTCATGGGCACAAGTTTGCATGGAAAAATAAGCACCTCTTAAAAAATATTTTTATGCTATAGTAATTGCCATTCTAGGAACAGGTGTTTGGAACCCTACTCAAGGGAAAATTGGTGATCAAAGAGGTCAGAGAGAGAACACTGAAGTTTCCATGGCTACCATCCCATGGGAAAATCATAACAAGAAGGGAGGGAAACAACTAGGGTCCCATGGGCCTAGACACTATATCCCATAACTGGCAACTGGGACAGGCAGGATCCTGTGAAGATGGTAACACCAATTTTCCCTTCTCAGTGCCCAGGCACAAAGATATAATGATGGCGCTGCAAGATCAATTCGATAATATTTCCTGCTGGTTCTATGTACCAAGCAATGAATCCTCTTAATTTGTATAAGTAAAATGTATTTATTGCAAAGTACTTTGCAGTTTGCAAGAAGCTTCCTGTGCTCACTGGGGTGCTGCAGGCAGGATGGGCATCCTGTCCTTATTGATGGGTGGAGAAACTTAGCATTTGAATGGTTGGAGTCAGAGATGGTAATGAAAAGACTAGAAGTACAATCCTCTTTAAGGGGGATTCAGTACCAGGGACTCGTCCACCACTATGTATTGGACAAGTAGCATTCTAGAAAGAAAAGAGCCTATTTCACTCAATTTATAGACGGGAGAAATTAATAAATAGCTGCATTATAGCCAAAGCCTTACCAAACAGTGACTTTATTTATTTTATTATTATTATCTTTTTAGTGTTTGAATTAAGTAGAATTCAACTAAAATATATAATCAACAGCAGTTGGCAATTTAATCAACCAAACAAAAGTCAGGTCTACCAACAAGTGTTAGGAAGAAGTCACACAGAAAGGGCTCCCAAAACATCATGGAAGCATACAGGTAAATATTTGGTCAAACACTAGGACTTTTAGGAAGCCTTCCATATTCCTTTCTTTGCACCCTCAAGGTCAGCTTTGGAATTTACTCATAAATTAGAAGGCACATAGAATTAGATCTGCAGTGGGGTATGCAGTTTGAGCTTTACTACAATTCAGAAGCTATTTAAAATTCTACTGTTCAGAAACAAGGTTTAAATGTATAGCTCTACAGAATCCTACTCTGTAGCTTGTACTCTGCTTGTTGGACATATGACAGCTAACTCGTACAGAAGCCCCATGTACAAGCCAGACACTCTTGTCACTGTTCTACATATACAACTTTTGTTTAGCCCTAACAAATAATCCTATGGTATAGGGACCATTCCTATCACCTTTGTGTTATAAATAAACTACAGCATGAAAGAGTCAAATGACTTGCCCAAGGTCCAACAGTCAGAAACCAGTGTTCTTCTCAGCAGCTGGGCATTATAACTGATAACCAGAGCAGCACACTACTACCATCTGAAAGTCCAATGTTCCTAACTTAGCTAAAGTATAGATGAGAGATGTACTACCATATAATTCATCTATTTGTTTCCTTCCTCAGGCCACCTGTGGCGAGGGCCAGGAAGAGAACGTGTGTGGAGCCCTGGGTTATTGGCCTCATCTCTTTTTTATCCCTAATTGTCGTGGCTGTGTGCATTGGACTCACTGTTCACTATGTCAGATATAGTAAGTATGAGATGCCCTGGTATCATGTGACTTGCTCCAGCTGTTTCCTCATGGAATTTCCTGTCTTGGCTTGCCTCGGGGTTGTTTCTTCATCACTATGATTTATTTGCATAGCTAAGAACAGTTTGACTGCTTTGTTTTTCATTTTAATCTTCACGAACCAAGGAGGATCCATCTTTCCATCTTTAATGGAAGAGTTCTTCCGGCTAGGAATAGAATGCTACTTTTCATTATAATTGATAAGTGATAAAGGAGTCTTAAATAGGGGAAGACCAGGGGTTAGCTAGAATAGAAAGTCTTGGGTTAGTTGATTTAACCCAATAACTTTGATTTTAAAAAAATCTAGTTCATCAAAATCTTAACACTCCAATGAATGAATTAGACAATGAAATATCATATAAAGCTAAGCTGTATTCTGCACTAAGTAAGTTGGAAAGGAGTTCACAATGGTGTATTGTTAAATAAGTGCCTATGTTATTTAAAATCTCATCTTGGAATGTTAGTGATAACAGAGGACAAGATATACTGAGGTTAATTATGAAGAGGTTCACTTTGTGGTTTTGAGGTCTCACACTGCCATATGAACTGCTAGTTGCTGTTATTAAGAAGGTACCCAGGGGAGTACAGAGCTCTTCTTCCAGGATGTAACAACCCTTCTGACGTTTCTCTGTACTGTGCCTTGGGTTTTAATTAGCTGACTCAACTATGACCTCTTAGTATACTATCTCCCTGAGTGACTAGATTATGTTTTGATATTGAAGGCCTTGAAACCATAGAAGCTACTCACTTGATTCTAATTTAATTGGGAATCTGATTCAGGTGCTTTCCTATACAGAGAAATAGTGATCTGTAATCTGATTATGTTCCTTTACTATCCACAAAGTACAACCTTAATTTCCAGACCAAGGTGGATATACCTCTTTTGTTTTGTTTAAAGAAAAACAGTGCTTTAAACGGATTTTTTGAGGTGGTATTTATGCACATGCAGGTCTTTAAAATTGGGATATCTTTATTTTGATAATAGAAATTTTTCTGGAATATTTTTAATACAAAAAAGTTGCTAAAATAACATTACAAAATACAAATCTGTTATGAATATAATGAGCTTTATTATGTTGCAAGCATTGTTATTTCTCTGTGCATGTGTAAGGCTACCATTTATTCATTTTTATATTTCCAAAAATTTGGAATATTCCTGGAATGAATTAGGACCATTATATTTGTTTATTTAATACTGAGTGATAAAAATAAATGGCACATTTTCAGGATTATCTGGTTTCATTAGAAACCCTAGTAACATTAGAGGCTTGATCACTTTTGTGAAAGAAAAACACTTCTTCCTACATTTCCTTTGCCTCTTCATAAACTAAGTTTTAAAAGATTATGGGTCTTGCTCACATGTGTACACTGAAAACCAGGTCATGTTTTCCAGTAACTAGTTCCTATATCATACTGTTTCGATGATCAGCTCAAAAACTGTAACACATGACTTTCAGTGCCCACACAACACACCTGAATAAACAATGAGTCTAGTATGTTACTATTTTGTATGTGTGACATGTGATGTACCATCTGGGGGTGTAAACTAACAACTGAGTAGCTAAAACAATGAGCATTCTGGAGCCTGCATGCCAGACTAAATAGATGAGTTACAGAGTAGATCTGGAAAAACATTGTCTTGAGCCTTACATTATGAAGCAAGGACAGCTTAGAATTGTTTATGTAACTCCTATCCTGTGCCTTTGGGGCTCTATTTACACTTTTTTTTTTTACTCTGGGTGTCAGGTAGAGCTCTTTGTGAACAACACTGCTGAAAGTTGTAGAATTACAATCCAGTAAGTCTAAGAAGCTGAATGTCAAGTAAGCCTGTGCTTTAGTTAGGCCTTGTCTTGAAATTCAGTCATACATTTTCTGGCTGTGTCACATTATTTTTGTCAGGTTATTTGTTTCTGAGACTGGATATTCCTAGATATAGATAACACTGCCTTCTAATGGGGTTATGGTAAGTTAAATCAGGTGTATGGCTTGCCTAAGACACCAGTGCTCAGTGTTAGTTCCCTTCTCTACTGGGGTTTAAGGGAAGAATGAGAAGGAAGGAGAAGAGGGAAGAGCCTGAGCCTGGGTAAGGCATAGTTCATTTTTTACAATAACCATTTTCAATGATCTTAGGTTACTATTGTATTTGTAATGCTTGGGACAATGTCTGTCACAGAAACATGGTAGGCATTGACATCCACTGATGGTAAACATAAGTCTCCCACTCGACTCATTCATGTATAGAAGAGGAACACTGTACTACATTAACTATACATTAGGTCAACAAAACAGGTTGTGTGAGTTGGCAGCAGTGACTGGACATAATGGCTAACAAGCAGACAGGACATTCCCTAAATCCAGTGGGACAAAATAAGTTCTGTGACAGAGGAATCTAGTGAACGTATATAGTGTCTATGGAAGTTTATACCAGGTGGCAAATCTAGTTCTCTAAATTTCTATTTTCTGAATTCCTACCCTCATTTCCATTTCCAGCAAAAATATATTTTCTCACACTACAGATCAGGATTGATGAGTCAGTCATTTACTGAATGGGGGAAGAGAGTTCTACTTCTTTAATATAAAATAATTCAACCCTGGGGAACTTCTAAATACAACTTGATGTGTTCATTCAGATGGCATGACTGGATATCCTTTGGGCTAACTAGGGAATGGATAACATATGAGTAATTATCCCTCCAGAGCACCAGGCATTTCTCACAACTTTTACACTCTATATAATAGAATGATGAGTATTTTCCTTTGTTCTGATGTCACTTTGGGGCCTAGAGCAGGACAATGGAGCTGATGACCAGGGCTAGGAGCATTCTTCTTGTCTTAGTGTTTCAAGTAATCACCGAATGGGATAGTAATGATGCTTTATACATCTGATAAAGATTATGATGGGTTTTGCCTCTTTCCTTTTAGATCAACGGAGGACCTACAATTACTACACCACATTGCCATTCACAAGTGACAAGCTATATTCTGAGTTTGGAAGAGAGGCTTCTAAAAATTTCACAGAAATGAGCCAGAGAATTGAAACTATGGTGAGTAGCTTTTTTTTCCCCTATGTTTACGACACAGAGTTTATCCTTCTGAAATATCCAATCAGCTGATTCCCTGCATATCTCTGAAAATTGATAGGAAGTCATACATAAGGGATCAGAAACAAAACTCACATTAGCTGATTTAGAAAAATCCATCAGCAGGCCAAACCACGTAGCATCTAGCCATTCATGAATGTCCCTTCCACTGTCCCTTTCTACACTTATATATTACTTTTGATCAACACAGTGCAGAAATTCTGGAGATGTGAGGCTGACCCAGAATAAGGTTCTTTCACATAGACATCCATTCTAGGGGAGAGTTCTGAACACAAGAATGTCAAGATTAAAACCATCTAGACCCATAGACAAACACTGTGCTTTACTTGCAGACGTATCTAATGCATCAGTTTGGTGCATACAAGGCATTGGTAGTCATCCTGGGGGAGGAGTCAATAGTTAAGAAAACAGAAAAACTGCAGCACAGAAAAAAGGATGAAGGCCTGAGTGGTGAATTCCCATCACCATGTTACCTAGACAACAATTTGCAAGTTTCTCGGCTACTGAGATAACTTATGGTATGATGTGATGGAAATAAAATTGAAGAGCAACTTCTACCATTAACTGTCAATCAGTGACATGTCAGTGTGTGGCAGGTCACCTTTCATTCCAGACAAATATCCTTGTGTGTTAATTTAAGTATTAAATTAATATAATTTGCAAAAATGTCTTAGGATTTCAATATTCTGAATAGGGACATAATGGAATAATTTGCATCACCCTGTTTTTGTTGCTACAATGAAATATTTCAATAGTTCATTTCCTAATAAATGGAGGTTTATTTTGGTTCATGGATTAGAAAGTGCTAGGCCAAAGGGTTGCATCTGATGATGGCCTTCCCTTCTTGGCAGATTCAGCAGGGGGCCTTACCACATCACCAGACAAAAGACAGAGAGCACTTGAGTAGTGAGTCTCTTCTACTCTCTCCCTCTCTTCGGAGCCACTAGGATTCAATCTGGGCTCTGCCCTAACAACCATATCTAATCTGACTCACCTCCCAAATGCCACACCTTTAAACACCATGGTTTTTCACTCTCTTACTACATTACAATGGGGATTAAATTTCAGTGTGAAGCCCTGGGAGGCGTTCCAACCATGTCTAAACTATAAATGGACCAACACCCTTTCACAGAAACTGTGTAGTTCTCTGAATTCCTGGTGACTTGTGTACTCAAGAGGGAAACATCAAAAGCAGCTCTTCTCTAATGTTAATACACATGTAAAGTAAGGAAAGGTAATGGAGCCCCAGAAAGTCGACATGTCACTGTATCCCTTGTTTTTTGTGCCATTTGCTCAAATAAATTTTCTAAGATTCAAATTGATACAGTCTACAGGAATATAGATCTTTAGTACTTTCCAAATCAATAATAATTTAGAAATTACTTGATAAAAATAAACCCTTAGGTGAAAACTTCCAAGAGACCCAATACAGGACATATCTGTACTATTGTCACTGTAGCATCAGTTCTGGAGGGTAGATTCAGGAATCAAGGAAATATAAGGACAGAAGAAAAAGCTAACTCTTTCTGCAAAACACCAGTCTGCACTCACCATGTCTCAAGAATATCCGCACTCAGACAACAAGAAGTACCTGAAATCTTTACTTACTCAAGCCCTGATGTTTAGAGTTTAAGTTCATTTGAACTATTGATAGCAAGAAATAGCTTCACAAAAATACTTCTGTCATCTTACTAGAGAAACTTTGTAGCTGGGGTTGTTCAGAGCTTCAATTCATGGGACTTTCTCAGAGCATTTTCAGTGCTGAGTTGGACACTCTGTATGTGAGCACACTTAGTCACTGTCTCATACAACACTGATGCACATTCCTACAACCAGCTGCCACTTAGGAAAATTACCTCATTCCTTTTCCAAAACAGGAGTCCAAACAATTTTTTCTCCTTTAAATCATTTTGCTCAGGCATTTTGTCACAGTGACAGAAATTTCAAAAATTAAAGTAAATGCTTCATTTTCTTTTTCTGTCTCCAGTAAGAGTTCTTAACTCAGGAAGTAGAGGGTAAACTGTCTTAAGGAAACAGCACACTCACTGTCTTTCATATCCTGTGAACAGAACTTGTAGGTCCACACTGGCCTCACTCTGGCTGTCATTCTGAATAGAATTCGGCTCTCTGAACTTGGTAGGATACCACAGAGGAGTCTTCAGCTTCAGTACATTGTGAATGTTCTCAATGTGTTTTGTTTGTCTGCTTGCTTTGTCTTGTACTTTAATTTTCGCTAGTGCATTGGATTAACTTGAAGAATTCCAGAAAACCATTCTTATTGACATATTTAAATGTCTTCAAACAGGTGAAAAATGCATTTTATAAATCTCCATTGAGGGGACAACTGGTCAAAGCTCACATTATCAAGTTCAGGTATGTAGACCGAAGATGTTATCCTGTATTTAACTTGATGAGGAAATTGTTTTTTAATGCTGAAGTTTCTAACTTGGTCAGTAATAAATATATATTAAAGTACTAATGATGTGATGTGATTCAGTTTAACAAGCATTTATTCACATGCTGTATGAAATCCATGTGCTAAAGTGTACTTTATTTAGTTTCTAATTTAAAAATGAACATTTGCAAGATGCCTGATGAAGGCAGAGGTATAATTGGTGCCAATGCTATAGCATGTGTGTGTGTGTGCTATAGTGTGTGTGTGTGTGGGGGGGGTAGAGGAGAAGAGAGAGAGAGGAAGGGAGTAAGGGAGGGAGAGAGAAAACTAATTATTACAACTGGGGACTAATTTAACAGCAAGCACTAGCCTGGAAAATGAGATCTTTATGTCTTCATGTCTTGTATTACCCACCCTCATCCTAGTTAATTCAACCTAGTTTTTTTTTCTATTTACATTTTTATCCTCCAAACATTTACCTAAGAGGATTTCAGAGCTCTTATCAATTACTGCTAAATAGGCAAGGTCAGAACATAATTTTCTACTGTTGGTTTGTGTTGGGGAAAAGGTCTTGCTATGTAGTCCAGGTTTGCCTTGAACTCTCAATCTTTTTGCCTCAGTCTTTGGATTACATGGCAAAACACAACATTGTAAGTAAAATGCTACTTACGGGTTTTAAATAATGTATTCTAGCACACATTATTCATGTTTTTCAAAAGTAGGGTAAGCACTTTATCATATTATCCAAATGGTACTACTCTGAATTAATTCCCAGTCTGTGATTAGCTGACATCTCTGAGGCATTGATGACTTTCTCCTGAAGAATTCTATACCTGAGATAGCATCCCTTTTGGATATCTCTCTACTTCTTAAATTTCTATCATCTTAAAAGGCACATCATCCACATGGCATCTTATGCTGATTGGAATCTAAGATTTTATGTCCAGTCTGAATGGTTTTCCTGATTTCTTTAACTAGTTGCCTGTTCCTGAACACCTGGCAAAAGGCTGTATGGTGAATTCCCTAACTTAAGAAGAATTTAATCACACCACTGAGAGACCTGCCATTGCCACACAAGCCTGTTTCACCTGGGCGCCATAGTTCATAAAATAACTAAGCACCATCGGCTTTATTTCCCCAAGTCACTTTCCAGCTTGCCCACTCATCTTAGCAATCCTGCTATTGCTTGTTCTTCCTGCTTTTGGTGCTGGAGCATGAAGAAGCACAGGTTTAGGGGAAGAATGGGCAAATGGAGAACCAAAGAGTTAAAACACTAGCTGAGCACAGGAGCTGAGAAAGTGAGTCTGATCTGATGAAAGGACAGGAAGCCTGAGCTCAAGAATGTTTAAGTGCTAGGAAAACACAGTGTTATAGAAAAAGAAAACCAAAGAACCAAGCACAATAACTCTACTCACAAATTTCCTCCCTCCATCAATTCTTTCCGTTCTCTCCCTCCTCCTCTTCCTTCTTTATATTTTTGGACAATAGTAAAGAATATGATGGAGTGTCAGCTCACATGTTGCTGATCTTCCGAATTCGCTATACTGAGGATCCTGAATCTGTGCATCAAATTGTCGAATACGTTCTGCGTGAAAAGCTGAAACACGCTGCAGGACCCCCCAACGTTGATCCTGAATCAGTTGAAATTAAAAGTAGGTTGCTTTGCTTACATAGTATAATTCTAAAATAGCTTTGGACATTCAGTTAAAAAGTCTTTTGTCCTTTAATTGCTGAGGTCCTGACAACTGTAAGTTATTGCTTTGGAACTAAATGATATTAATGAACCATTTTCATCCGTGAAAGTGTTCTCAACAAAAGCCTCCCATGTAGGCTTTCATTATCTCATGAGAAGTGTCTTTATTGTGCCTTGCATGTTGGATACATGGAAAAAGTGGTTTTGAATATTCTTCTGCAGTGTGTTGCTTCCATCATAAGTTCTGAGAGTATGATGTAAGGGGAGTTTTAACATACTTTGTCATAGCTATTTTCTTAAGACCTTTTCCAGTGAACAACTGTGTTTCACATATATTCATTGTTGTGTGTTTTACAGCTGTAGTTGAGTAGATTAAGGTAGATATTTTTATTTTTCTGGCACCACAAAGAACTATGTATAGTGGGAAATTACCAATACGGAGTCAGGTAGAAATATAAGGGTATTTAATAGGGAAAAGCCTTACTTACAGAGCGACCTAGCCAGCCGGCGTGGCAGCAGCGTGGTCAGACACACCTGTAGCCAGCCCCTAAGTAGGCGTGGCTACAGCTTCTCCTACAACTACGCAATAGCATTTTATAGTTTATGAGAGTACAGTTGTCCACTTGGTTCATGGGTTCCATATCCATGGAGTCAGAAAAGCATACTATTTTTATACAACCAAAAATATTAAAAATGTTCTTACTGAATACACACACTTTTTTTGTTATTCTTTAAGAATGTAAACAACTGCTATCTGTACGGGATTTATATTATCAGGTACTCTAGGTAATCTAGAGAGATTTAAAACATATAGGAAGATGTATATATGTTACATTAAAATACTTAACCATTTTAGAGCATGGCTGGTGTTTTGACATCTTTGGGAATGTCCTTACAGTAATCCTCTGAAGATGCTGAAGGACAACTGTATTTCATCTTCATTGCAACACAATGAGAATAGTACACAAAGCTAAGCTGGCTATTTCTAGTTCCCTTCCTCATATGACACATCCTTTCAAAGCTTTTTGTCTTGGGCTTATTGATGAGGAAAGAAAGACTTGATAGAGAAAGAACTATAGATTTCTTTATCTTTATTTATTTATTTATTTTATATTTATCAGTATGGTTATTTTCCCTATCTTTCTTTCAGTATGGTTATTTTCAGCTAAAACAATTAGCTAATACATGCAAAAAAGAAAAAAAAAAAAAAACAACCAAACAACCAAACAAAAAACCCCCCAAAACAATGATAGGGTGCCATGTTCATTTGTGCTTATTAGAATGCCATTGCTTTCTTCTTGGGTTTTTTTTTTTTTAACAAATTTTAGTTCAAACACAAACATGTCCTTCTCTACTGCAGTGCCCCCTCCATTTTTGGTACTGAGTTTAACACACTTGTCTTCTACTTGTTTTGAGTCTTGCTATGTTCACACATGTTGTATGTTCACCAGGATTCTGACTTTACAGAGCATCATACTGGTATATTCAAGGGACATCATGGACACACAAATTCCATATTCCACATGGAATGTGTTTGAATGTCACATTGGACTTCCCTTTCAAAACACACATTTCAAGATAAATTTTAGGGTAGTAATAGAATAACGTGAAAACAAGCACGGAACTCTTGGTAGTATGGGAGCAGATAAAACCCAAACTTTTAGAAAGAAGTTGGGGTAGAGAATAGATTATATGAAACAGACTACTAAGTAGCTGAATAGTAACTGAGGTTCAATAATCAGTCCCCTATGTCTTCCATTTCCACACAATGGCAAGATGGGGAAAGCAAAAAAGAATGTTGGGGCTGGAGAGATGGCTCAGAGGTTAAGATCATTGGCTGCTCTTCCAGAGGACCCGGTTCAATTCTCAGCACATATCTTCCTGTAACTCCAGTTTTAGGGAATCTGACACCTTCACAGAGACATACATGCAGGCAAAACACGAATGCACATGCAATAAAAATAAATAAATGAAAAAGAAGAATGTCTGTAATTCAGACCTCAGCATGTCAAAGTTATTAACCAGAAGAAAAACTAAGAGATTAATAGCATTTTTGCATTTAGAACACCTGTTCTGCTATATGTGTTCAAAGAGAATAGATGATCCCTGGAAAACTATTAGGTCAGGAATATGAGCACTTAGGCTATTCTGTACCTCTTGCTTGAGCAAGTGTTTGCATGTGACTAGGTCCTGACTTCTGAGTTCACTGAGGTAAGGATCTGGCTGAGTTGAGTGGGAAGCTGTGGGCAGACTTGTATCTAAAAGCCTAACAGTTACATATATACATAGTTTTACCAAGCATCTCATATGCTTGGTAAAACTATCATTTCATTTAAGGAATCAGTATTATAGTTTAATATTTATCAGAGAGAGGCCATGGACTCCCAGAATCTTATTTTCTGTTAGAAAACTCACATTCTTAGGTTTCAACACAAAACTCATAAGTCAGCATTATTGAGAAATGCAGCAGTAATCTACATTATAAACAGATTACCTGTGTGCTTCTTATCTATACCAGAGTTCCAGGATCATTGTTCATGCTTCCTCTCCTAGTTGAAACAGTAAAAATAATGCATGTCTGTGATAACCTAACTACATTTCTTTCCTTATAACCCAAAGAGCTGTCTTAGAAATGCATCAGCTGTCTAGTGTTACAAACTCAGACAGTGAAGATTTTGTTAAGGTCACCCTAACCCTGTTTACCATTTGTTTGTATTTCAGAAATCAACAAGACAGAAACAGACAACTATCTCAACCATTGTAAGTTGAATGTATTTTTAAAGATTGCATTGCCTGATTGGAAAAAGGTAACGTTCTAGAACAGTTACATGGGCTTTGTGTTGAGACTGCAGAGATAGCGTTTGGATGATTTGTATATAGCTCATGGCACTCTATTTTGTCTCTGAGATCTGCTAAGGAATAGCAAAATTGGGAGAACTTCAGATTGGGTGTACAGGTGCCTGTGTCCATGGGAACAGGAGTGAGTTGGACAACTGTTAGAGAGGTAAAAATATTCTCTTTGCATGTGTTTATATTTATATTTTTCAACATATAACATTGAGCCACATGCTGTTATTTTTCACCTAGGGATATTAACTTAATGTCAAACTACTTTAAATAAAGTCATCTTGATATTTCTTGTTTATAATAGAAATTGCAGATAATTGTGGACTTGTGGAATATTTGATAAAATTAAATATGATGAAAATTTAAAAGTCTTGATTCTAGACCTAATCCTTCACTCTCTCAGAGCAGACCAGTCACTGTGGCTCAAAGAATAAATTTAATATATACACAAGTGGTAGGAGGGCATTTATCATTTTTTTAAATGGAAGGTGGTATGATGAGATGGCTCTGCAGGTAAAGGCACTTGCTGCTATGCCTGACAACCTGAATTCAATCCCTAGGGCTCACATGGAAGAAGCAGGGGACCAAATACTGTAGGCTGTTATCTGGCCAGCACACACACACAGTAATAGATACACACACACACACACACACACACACGCACACGCACACGCACACGCACACACACACTAAGTAAATAAAGGTAATTAAAAATTAAAACAAATCTCAGAATATTGATTAGTTTATGAATTCACTAAGCCTAGAACCAAAAATATAATCCCATTATCTAAATAACATATTCTTGCCACCAATAACAAGGATGTGCTGGTTCAGTGTTAGCCAAAAGGGATGCAAAATGGGCAACATATACCTGCTCAAAGCAGCTTAAATCTTACAAGATGAATAGGCGTTGACTAAATAAAATGTTATCACTTACATAATGATAAAAACATGAGAAAATGTTTGATCTATTGAATCACACAGTAAAAGAAAATTGGGATGCTTAAACAACTGCTATTGCTATCTCCTGTCTACTTGGCAGGTTGTGGGACACGGCGAAATAAATCTACAGCACAGACTAGTCTCAGGATTGTTGGTGGGACACAAGTAGAAGAGGGAGAATGGCCATGGCAAAGTAGCCTGCAGTGGGATGGGTCGCATCGCTGTGGAGCAGCTTTGATCAACAACACATGGCTCGTGAGTGCTGCTCATTGCTTTCGAACGTAAGTTGTGAACTTTGAGGATGGAGTGGAAGGAAAATGCATGTGGTTTTACATTATATAATCATGAATTTTGAGAGAAGTAAGTTTGCACAAATCAAAAATAATACGTTCATCAGAAAACATGGTGGAACTCTCAGAAAACTTAGTAGGAGGTTTTATAGTCTCTTGAAATGAAAATGGTATCAGTGTACATTGTTGTGGTATAATTACTCATTGAGAAATTTATGATGGTTTTCCAAAGAACATATATGACCTTTAAGTCATGTTTGAATTTTGAGCTTGTTATCAAAGAGAACTGATGGTCACTAAGTGTCTTTATAAGAACCAATGTTGCACAGATGGTAGTTTTGATTCCTATGAGGAAATTCCAAGAAGAAGGACAAGGAAGTATGAAGCAAGTTGGAAGTGTTGAATTTTACAACTAAATAGCTGATTTATATTAGAAGCAATGTTGGCTTTTCAATCTGGCATCAAGATATTGTCAATACCCACAGTACTAATGCTTTTGAAAGTTATGCATGAACTATGTGGATTTCGGAAAATATATATCCTTGCAGGAAGAGGATGTGGGGCATGTAGAATATATTTACTTTCATTCTATGCAGAATTTTCTTTCATGTGTTGCTTGTAGTCACTTATGGCAAAGGCACCTGGATCTACAGTGGACACCATGATTCATGGTGTGACATGTAACCTAGGAAAAGCATTCTTTGTGGCTTTCTAACTGGCTTGAACCCAGAGCTCAGTTTTCCGATTGGAAAGAGTTTATTTCTGTTGATATGAACTACAACTTAAAAAATTAAATTTTATACTGATACCTTCAGATAAAACCATTCATTACAAATTATTACATTAATATCAAGGTAAGCTAGAATTTATTATTACTACTATTTTTTGGTAGGCATAAGGACCCATCCAGATGGACTGCTTCCTTTGGAGCAACAATACAACCTCCAAAACTGAGGACAGGCCTTCGAAGGATAATCGTTCATGAAAAATACAAATACCCATCGCATGACTATGACATTGCACTTGCAGAGCTTTCTAGGCCGGTCCCCTGCACAAATGCAGTGCACAAGGTTTGTCTCCCTGATGCAAACCATGAATTCCATCCAGGGCAGAAGATGTTTGTGACAGGATTTGGAGCATTGCAAAATGATGGTGAGCATCTGGAGGGAAAATCAAGTCACAGTGACCTAATTTGGAGTTCCAAGGCATTTAAAGAAATGAGAATTATGACAAAGTATGTTGATTGTTCATGTGGACTCAGGCTAAGGCAGGCTTTAAGCCACTTAGAAGATGCATACATTCTTTCCCACCTTTAGCTTCTGTTTATTGCATTGCTGCTGTTACTGTAATGATGTTGTAAGGTATGTGAAGGGGCAAATACGCCTGTTGGACACTGAATTTATTTTTCCTTAATGAACATATGCATCTTTTCCTGAAGCTGCAGGGGGTGTGTGTGTGTGTGTGTGTGTGTGTGTGTGTGTGTGTGTGTGTGTGTAGGGGGGGCTGTATATTTGTATGCTTTGTGTGTTCTCTGATGTGAGTGTGTGTATAGGCCGGAGGATGATGTCAGAATGTTTTATTCATCCTTATCCACATTATTTATTTAGAGACAGGATATCTTTTTTATTCTTTTCTTGTACATTACATCCCTACCTAAGTTTCCCCTCCCTCTACTCCTTCTAGCTTCTGCCTACCTCACCTTTCTCTGAGATCCACTCCTTCTCCATCTCCCTTCAAAAAAGGAGCCTATTTCCCGGGTATAGCAAATGAACATGGCATTACAAACTACAATAGACTAGGCACAAACCATCATGTCAAGGTTGAGGTGACACTAGGAGGAAAAAGGTCCCAAGAACAGGCAAATGAGCCAAAGACAGCCCACTCCCACTATTGGGAATCCTAGAAGAACACTAAACTATGCAACCATAACATATATACAGATGGCCTAGCTCAAATCCATGAAGGCTCCCTGATGGTCACTTCAGTCTCTGTGAGCCCAGGTGAGCCCTGCTAAGTTAATTCTGTGGAATATGTTCTCACAGTGTCCTCCACCCCTCTGGCTCCTACCCCTTTCCTACAGAGTTCCCCAAATTCTGCCTACTGTTTGCCTGTGGGTCTCTGCATTTGCTCCTATCCCTTGCTGGATAATGCCTGTCTGATGAAAATTGGGCTAGGCACTGATCCATTAGTATAGCAGATAATCATTAGGAATTGTTCCATTGACTTTTTTTTTTTGGCAGCTGTGTTTGGTTCTATCCTGGATCTCTGGGTTGTCTATCCTCTTGTTCCTGGCCATTAGGCAGTATCAGGTGTGGGCTTCCTCTTGTAGCATGGCATTTGTTGGCCATTTCCATAAGTCTGTGCCACTATTACCCTTGCACATCTTGTAGGACATATTGTATATTGAAGGTTTTGTGGATAGGCTGATATCCCAGTCCCACTGCTGGAAGACTTGCCTAGTTATAGATGATGGCTAGTTCAGACCCTGTAACCCCCATTACTAGGAGTCTTTGCTAGGGTCACTTTTATGGACTACAAGGAGTTTCCACTGCACTAGGTTTCCACACTGCCCCCCAAATGTCCTCCCTACACTCCCTGCCTCCACCTGATCCTGCCTGTTCCCAATCCCACCTGCTCCGAGTCTACCTGCAAAATCTATTCTACCTCTCCTTCCCAGGAAGATCCATGCATTCCCCCTTGAGCCCTTCTTGTTACTTAGCCTCTGGGTCTGTGGATTGTAGCACAATTACCCTTTACATAACAGCGAATGTTCACTTACAAGTGAGTGCATACCATGTTGTTATTTCTGGATCTGGATTACCTCACTCAAGATGAATTTTTTTCTAGTTCCATCCATTTGCTTTCCAATTTCATATCAATATTTTTAACAGCTGAGCAATACTCCATTGTGTAAATATACCACATTTTCATGTCTTCTTCTTTTGGTGTTTTGAGACAGAGTTTCTCTGTGTAGCCTTTGCTGTCCTGGAACTCTCTTTGTAGTCCAAGCTGGCCATGAATTTGTAGAGATCCACCTACTTCTGTCTCCCAAGTGCACATTTTCATTATCCATTCTTTGACATCTAGGTTGTTTCCAGTTTCTGGATACTACGAATAAAGCTGCTATGAACATAGTTGAGCAAATATCCTTGTGGTAACATGAAGTTTCCTTTAGTTATATGCCTAAGAGTAGTATAAGCTGGGTATAGTTTTTTCCCCATTTGGAGGCCCACCACTCAGCTTCCAAATACATACATGAAGACTTATTCTTACTTAAGAATGCCTGGCCTTAGCTTTTCTTGTTTCTAGCTAGCTTTTGTAACTTAAACTATCCCATTTCTCTTTAACTATATTTTGCATCTGGGCTTTTTACCTTTCTTTATATATCATCTTTCTTTCCTTCTTATTCCATGACTGGCCCCTGGCATCCTTCTATACTCTTTTTCTAGCTCCTTGCTTTTCTCTGGAGCCTAGATTTCTACCCCTACAATTATTCTCTCTACTTGGCAGTGCTGTCTACCTCTCCTGCCTACCTATTGGCTGTTCAGCTCTTTATTAGAGCAATCAGGTGTTTTAGGCAGGCAAAGTAATACGGCTTTACAGAATTGAACAAATGCAACCTAAAACATTGCAGCATATCTCTGTATTATTAAACAAACATTCCATAGCATAAACAAATGTAACACACCTTAAAATAGTGTTCCACAACAGCTGAGTCTTGTGATATATTGATTCCCAGTTTCCTGAGGAACCAACCACTATATTGATTTCCATAGTGTCTGTACATGTTTGCACTTCTACCAGCAACGGAGGACTGTTCCTCTCGTTCCACATCCTTGCCAGCATAAGCTGTCAGTTGTGTTTTTGATAGGGTGCCTTAGTGAACCTAGATCTAGCTGTTTCAACTATACTGGCAGCCAACAAACCTCTAGAATCCACCTGTCTCTGTCTCCCCAGCACTGGTGTTTCAAGCATATGATGCCACTGAATTTTATACTAGACAATTGGCCATGTGAGAAATTAGGGTTTGTTGATATACCTAATTGTGAAGATTAAGTAATCATCCACCAAACAAAGTCACTAGTTAGAAAGTTTAAACTAGTTAGAAAGAACTCCTTCAAATATTACTGTTCTTAAACACTCCCCCACACGTATATTGTCATCTTATCTATTTATCTATTTAAAACACAGTTTTTTGAGGTTCATAAAATACACATATCTATAAAGATGACTGTCTTTTCTCAGGTTTCACCCAGAATCACCTTCGGCAAGTACAGGTGGACTACATAGACACGCAAACCTGCAATCAACCTCAGTCTTACAATGGTGCCATCACTCCTAGAATGTTGTGTGCTGGCTTCTTAAAAGGAGAGAAAGATGCATGCCAGGTATGGGCTTGCCTACTAGTATACTATACAAAGACTTGTGTACCTTCATTTACTCAATTTCCTTCAGTGGTTACATTTACACAACTATGATAAAATTATAGGGAGATACAGTTAAATAACATCTGGGGAGTAGACAGTGGCACAAAAATGCATCTAGGTATATGGTGTTTTGCTGCCTAAGACAGATTTGTGGAATTTCCATTACAGTCAAGATGGAATCTATTCAATTACTCTGAAGATGTACATTGGGTAGTAAACCCTTGCCCCTCCTGCCATCTCTAATATCACACGATTGCTATTTTTCTCTATCTCTATAATCCTGTGATTTTCAGAATGTTAAAAAAATCACATAATTACTTGTTTTGGAATTCCATTGGCTTCATCTGCTACTACTCTTATCTATTTCTTTGTAGAAAAAATGCAGCAATTACCCTAACTTGTTTATGTAAATACATATATGTGATATATACTTTATCACACTCCACTGCTATTAACATTTTATTCATTTGAATGGAGTGTAGGATAGAAAATCTACCTTCCTTTAAATCTCTATCATCCTTTTTTATTAAATATTATTAAGTATAAATATTTAAATTTCTTCTTTGTGGAGTTATATTAGGTAATGTTTCCCTTCATTGCTAAGCATAAGTCAGGTATTCAGGTGGAGAAGACAAATCTGTTTACTCAAAGATTTTCATGTCCCTTTCATTTCTAAGATTCCTTTTCTGTTTTAGGAGCTTCCTGTAAGCACACTTTTGATGTAGGTATGTTGATGACAATGTTGTTACTATTTTTGTAGAATAGTTTTGCCAGATACAAAGTTTGAGACAGATAGTTCTCTTTGGGCCCTTGCATCATGGCTTCCTTGAGAGATGAGCAGTCTACAGCCACCAGATTTGCCTGAACAATCCATCATGTATTCAAGGATTTTCCTTTGTCTGTACAGAGGCTTGATCCTCTGTCTTAACATGTATTTCCTTGTCTTTATTCCATCTCAGAGTTTACTCAGTTTTTCTGAATCCATAGGTTTATGTCCTTTGCTAGCCCTAGGGAATTTTCTTTCAATTCCTTTTTGAGTTCTACTTTCCCCCTCCCTGTGTTCTGAGACTTTAATGTGATGTTTCTGGTGATAGTCCCAGAGGTTCATGAATTCCTTGTTGTTTCCACTTTCATTTTCTCTGTTATTTGCTTGGGTAAGTTCTTTAATTTGAGTCAAGTCACTATCCTCACAATGTCTTTCTTCCACAAAGCTCATCTGCTGAACTGTGTTTTAAGTTTTGGTTATTAAATTACTAAGTTCTGGGGTTTTTATTTTATTCTCTTTTGTGTCTAGGTATTCTTTGTTGAGATTTCTCTTATTTATTATTTCTTTAGTTTTCATTGATCTTACACACTGAGATACTGTAACTTTTAAAAAGGGATGCTTTAAGATGTTTGTGTCACCTCAGAGCTGGTGGTTGGATATTGCCTTTTCTTGTCCAAGGGCAGAATCAAATCTACTTATTTGATTTTGTCTGATTGCCTAGTATTTCCATCTTCCCTGTCCATCCTGCTTCTGACTCATTTATTAAAGAGATTTTTGTTTGATTTGAATTTATTTATTTTATGTGTGTGAGTGTTTCACCTGCATTTATGTGCACTACAGTTGTGCCTGATGCTTATGGGGGGGTCACACAAAGGTTTTGGATTGGATCTCTTGGAAATGGAGTTTTGAATGGCTGTTAAAAAACATTTAGGTACTGAGATCCATATCCAGGTCTTCTGCAAGAACAGCAGGTGCCAAACCATCTCTCAACCATGGAATTTTTTTTCTTGAGACCTTTAAATTTAATTTTTTAATTGCACCTGTTCACAGGTTGACAAACTTGGTGACTTTTTCAGCTTCAAATAATCAGTCCGTGAATAGCAATTTACTGCTTGCTGTATTACCCCTGAGCCTTAGCCTACTTGCTTTCTTCAGCTTACATTTCAGAATAGTATAATAATTGTTTTATTTCTTGAATCCACAGTTGATTGTTTGCTTTAGCCAAATTTAGCCCAAGGAGATGGGATAACTCAGTGCCATATCTTCCAAATTAAACTCTTGTCCAAATTTAATCTCAAGTCTCCACATACGTCAAAGCCATTTCCATTAACATGTTTTAGGCTGTTAGTGTGAGATGTGAAAATTTAATTGCCATCCCAAACTCAGTAGGACTGAAATCCTATTTTTAAATACTTATTTTTATTACTTTTTAATTATGTGTATATGTGCAAGTGAGTGTAGCCGCCTGTGGAGGCTATAAGTGTTGGATATCCTGGCATTACAGACCTTTGTGAGCAGGGTATTGTGAGTACTAGAAACCACATTTGGGTCCTCTGAAGAGCAATACATACTCTTAGAAGTTAAGCCACTTCTTTAGTCTTGAAAGTTAAGGTCTCTGTGGATTTCTAAAGCTCATGTCTGTGTTCCTTATCAGCAATAGACTATCCACCACTTTCTGGTGAGTTAGGCCATATTAATAAGGAGATGACCAGAAGAAGGAATGATATGGTCTATGGTCAGCTGAATCAGCTAAGTCCACAGTACTGTTTGCTCTTCAGCTAAATGAACTTTCTGTCTGTGTTCTGAAACCCGAGGCCAAACCAGCTCCTCTGGCAGCAGAATGCCTTTCTGTGGGTAGCTGCACTGCTGTGTATTTCAATACCCTGAAGAGTAGTTAGCTGTTTTTTTTTTTAACTCTTTGGGGGCCTGCCACCCAGCTCCCAAAGAAACACATGGAGACTTACTCTTACTTATGAATGCCTGGCCTTATCTTGGCTTGTTTCTAGCCAGCTTTTCTAACTTGATTCATCCTGTTTCTCTTTAACTAAGTATAGTCTCTGGGCTTTTTACTTTTCTTTGTTCCATAAATTCCATATACCTTTTTTTCCTTCTTACTCCGTGGATGACTGGGTGGCTGGCGCCTGGTGTCTTCTCCTTTTTTGCACCTCTCTCTTTTCTAGATTTCTCCTCCTATTTATTCTCAATGTGTGGCAGCCCTGTCTATCCGTCTCCTGCCTAGCTATTGGTCATTTAGCTCTTTATTAGATCAATCAGGTGTTTCAGACAGGAAAAGTAACACAGCTTCACAGAGTTAAACAAATCCAACATAAAAAATGCAACACATTTTTGTATCATTAAATTTCCCACAACATAAACAAATATAGCACATCTTAAACTAATATTCCATAACAGTGAAGATTTGAAAACCACTAGGTTCACTATAGTTTATCTTAGGTAAATAAAATTTCTACCTTTGTGAGCTGAATTATAAATAAGTAATCTTTTCTTTTTTCCTTAGGGTGACTCCGGAGGTCCACTGGTTGCTTCAGATGTTAGAGATATCTGGTACCTTGCTGGTATAGTGAGCTGGGGAGATGAATGTGGCCAACCCAATAAGCCTGGTGTTTATACTAGAGTGACTGCCTTCCGGGACTGGATTGCTTCCAAAACTGGTATCTAAAGCAGAAATACCCAGTGGGATGAAATGGATGTCTTTGTCTGTAGGCCGTTCTTAGAGTCACAAACTGCAAAAGAAGATTTATAAATTAGGAGAACCTGAGCCATCTGAAGTGTATATTTCCTTCCCAGCTTTGCTCTTCACATGAGTGTCTTGCTGCTGCAAGATGGACTTTGCCAACCTGCACTCTTTTATTTTCTATGAGTTTCCTGTAGCCAAAATTTGGATTTGCTGCTCCAAAGTACTCACACATACAAACAATTTGAAGCTTCATTTCATCAGCTTCTTTCATATTAGTAAATTTCTACTTTTCAAGTGCAAGATAAAGAATGAAATAAAATGGAAAAAGAAAATGCTAACATTTTTTAATGTACAGAAAAGCATTAAGGATTTTAAAAAATAGAATGTGGGAAATGATCACATTTATAATGAAAGACCAGAAAACAGATGCAGCAACAGACTGATCAAAATTTCATGTTGGAGAAGAAGTTGAAGAAACAGAAAAACTAATATATAGTTTAATTTTCTTCCTAAATAACTAACAAGAGCAACATGAGAATGATTGTTTCCTGTGACTACAATAATCACACAAACTCTTTGTAGTGTACTTGTCATGAACAAATTAAAAAACTATTTTCTATTGGCATGCAGAGGATGTCAATATACAATCAGCAATGAACAAATCATTTACTTGTTTGACATTACAACATGAAAATTAATGAAGCAAAGAGGGATGAGTAGAATCTCACTGATAAATTTACTGAACATTAGGTTTGAAGGTAAATGAAAACTTTATTTCAAAATAAGCAGCATAGCTTATGCGGTAAGATAATTGTATAGTTGAGTAGAATTAAAAAGAGTCAGTCTTAACTATTGACTGTGGTAGGATTATCCCTAACCCTTTCCAAACTACAACTCTTGACTGGAATAAGGTTCAGATATTGGTGTGTAATAATAGTCACATGATTGCAGCTGGGACTTGGTCTCCTACTTTGAGATTATGGCAGACATGCTTACCTTTGCTGTAAGATTCAGCCTGGGCAGGAAAAGTGGGTTTGTTAGGTCTGTCCATGCTGAGAGGCCACTCAACTCGGATGAGACCACAGGGAAGACCTCCTGGAAGCTGCATCTAAATTGTGCAGAAGGTATCCACCTCAATACAAGACTGAAGAAAAGAAGCTGGATGCTGGCCTCCTTTGTGATTTCAGTTTGATGTGTTATTACTGAGCCAGTAGATATTCTAGATCCAAATGATCCAGACCATAAAGAAATTAGGACTGATGATGCGGCCTATGACATGTTCATGCTAAGATTTCACCAAGGTATTCAGCAGCCATCTCCTCATTGTATACAGACTATAAAAGGACATATAGTAAATCACATAGTACCATAAGGTAGCCATTTTGAAAACCTATGTTGTCATGAAAAATATTGACTTTTTTAACTCAAGTAATATTCACATTATCAAGTGATAAAATTTAGGCACTTTTCTAAAATAAGACATGAAAACTAACATGAACTGTCAATGTTTAATATTCTGAATTATTGTTGTTCTATTTAATACACTCTTTGGTGGGAAAGATGAGAAAATGATGAACTTTAGAGATATGTAAGACCATTAAAGTTAGATTAGTTTCAGAAGCCTGTTAAAAAGTGATTCATGTGGCTAGAGAGATGCTCAGAGGATAAGGACTCATGCTGTTCTTCCGGAAGACAGATTCTTGGTTCCCAGAACTCACATTGGACATATCTCAATAGATGTAACTCCAACTCCCAGGGTACCCAACACCTCTGGCATCCATGGGCACCTACCCACATCACAAACACAGACACACACATACAGAGAGCAGGAGAAATAGTCCTTAGATAAGAGACTACCAATTGTTTCTCCAATACCAAATGGTCATCCCTAAAACATACATGAAAGTAGCATTATACAGGATGAACAGGTGGTACTTACATATGTAGAAATTATATACTATGTATGTGTATTTGTGTGTGTATATGCATATATATGTACATATATATACAAAACAATTGTTGAAAAACAGACAATGAATTTGAAAAAAAGAAGAAAGGATAAATGCAGGCTTGGAAGAAGGAAAGGAAAGAAATAATTAAAAATAAAATAAATTGAAAAATCTTAAAAAAAAAAAAGGGTTCCCAAAGTATCCTACTCATGTGAGCCTCTAGGTGGCACCCTACAGCTGTGGGAAGTTACAGGGAAAGCCAGAATGTAAAGATACTTGTATGTTCAAGATTCAGTCAAAGCAGAAGTCCAAATTCTGTAGCTTGGTCTCAAAAACCACAAAATAAAATTTATATTTGAAAACATATTTATAGGTGAATTCATGTTAAGTCATTTATTAGTACTCTCCAGATTTCTAGAATTTGGGTTCCAAATTAAAAATTAATATAGTGTGATTTGAGTATCTCTATAAACTAAGTTTTAAGGATTTAAATTAAATATAAGTTTTAGAGATTTAAGTTTTATGATGGTTTTGTGCTCCTTAGATAAGTGTTTGTAGCACTTCCTTATACAACACATTTAAAGAGAGAGGTTTTGTGTCACAGCAAAAAATTAAATTATTCAAATGCTATATGAGGTCATCAGTATAGTACCATACTCTTAAAATAGTAACATCTTTTGAAAACTAAAGTGGGCTTTATTGTTCTTCAGGAAATCAGTGTTAACCATATGGGGGAGGTTAAGGAGTGGTGTTTGCAGTATTTATTAATTATACAGAACAGGCATTTCTCTTCCATATCTTTTATCCCATACCACCAGTAAAGTTTACCCTATGTTATATTCTTTCAATACATGCTATTTAATGGCTCTTCTATGTATTTCATTATGCAGAAAACAGCTTTATTCAATTGTTGTGTGCCACATAACAGACACCACATGTAGGATGATGCTTCCATAAGAGTATAATGGTGCTAAGAAGTTTCTCTAATCTTCTTCGGTTGTAGCCATCATAATGCTGCAGTGCCTTGTGTTATGAATATATTTATAGCTATACTGTTGTGAACAGACCCACTACACTGTGTCATATGAAAGCATAACAAGTTAGCACTTAATAATGATAATGAATGACCATAACAATAGTTCTGTGTTCTGTAATTTTTGTTGCTAATTTAGGATGTAACCTTATATTAAAAAGTTTACTGTAAAACATTGTGCCATGTAATGCCCACCATCATCATTGTACAACTTACATTGAGCAATCGACCGCTCTTGTCTAGTTTTACATGCAGGGTATGATGTTCACTGATGTTGACGAACAGCAATGCTGGGACCAGTTCTCTCTTATGCTCTCTGGTCCAGCTCACCTGCACCCACACTACCAGGGCCAGCTCCACTGTTTTGTCCAGGTGTGGGGCAGGGCCTGCTCTGCAGAGTGCTATAGTTGGTGAAGGGTGGGGCTAGTTCTCTCTCTCGTGAACCCAGGACCAGGTCTCCTGCCTGCCACAGGTGGGTGGCAAGGGGCAGAGACAGGGAGGGCAAGTTTCCCTCACCCTTGCCACCTTACGGTATTTGAGGGAGGATCGGGCACAGCTCTCCTGCTCTTCCATCTACAGTATTAGCTCACCTGTACCCAGCAACCAGGGTCAGCTCCACTGTGCTGCCTGGATGAGGTACAGGGCCTGCTCTCCTGACTCCTGCCGCCAGAGAAGGGCAATTCTCCCAGTCTCATGACCTCAGGGCCAGCTCTGCCACCTGTCACAGATGGTGAGGAGTGGGGGAGACGGAAGGTCTTCTCTTTCTCACCCACTCCACTGTATGACAGATGAGGTATGGGGCCAGATCTCTCATGCATGTTCGTGGGTCTGGATTACCTGCCCTCCCCTACCAGGGTCAGCTCTGCTCTGCTGTTAAGGCAAAGTGCAGGGCCCACTCTCCTGAGTGCTGCATCTGGTGAGGTACAGGGTCAGCTCTCCTACTCTTGTGACCCCAGGACCAGTTTCCTGCCTGCAGTAGGTGGTGAGGGGGTAGGAGTGAGGGGCAAGATTTGATGAGTGAGGCTGATATCTCTCCCTCACAGAGGCCACCACCTGTCAGACAATGGAACTAGCTCTCCCATTCTCATGCCTTCGGGGTTGGCTCACCTGTATCCCAGCCAAAAGGGACAGCTCTATTTGCTGTCCAGGCAAAGTGCAGGGTCCACTTTCCCAACTGTTGTGACTGGTGAGGGGAAGGGTCAGTTCTCCCTAGTGCTGTGGCCAGTGAGGAATGGGGCCAGCTCTGCAGCCCTATCCCCATTGCTTTCAGTGGTACCAGAAGGCACGGGCATCAATGCAGACTGAGGCTGCAGACCCAGATGTGACCTTTGGCAGCAGCCCAGGCTAAGATGACACCATGGCCCCAGGTAGCAGTGCAGGCCACTTAGATCTATATGGCTACTTAAGGGACTCAGCCATCAGACACTAACATGGCCCTAGGTGGCAGGCCAGACCCCTGATGTCCATGTGGCCCTTGGTGGGAATACGGGCCATGGATATCAATCCAGACCCCAGATGCAGTTGAACCATGGACCCAGACATGATCCTTGACAGCAGCCTGGGCCTAAATATCACTATGGCCCCAGATGGCAATGCAGGTCACTTAGATAGGCATGGAACCAGTGGTAGTGTGGCCTTTGAGCCTCCACATGGCCTTAGGTGGTGTACCAGATCCCAGGGATCCATATAGCCTATAATGACAACAGGAACATCCAACATCAATCAAGACCCTGACAGCAGCAGGGCCACAGACTCAGACATGGCCCCAAACACAGCTTGGATCCTTATGACACCATGACCCCAGGTGGGAGCACATGTCACTCGGGTCTATATGGACGTGGTAGAGGCACAGCCCTCAGACACCAATGTGGCCACAGGTGGAGTCCCAGATCCTGGGCATCTGTGTGGTATTTAGTGAAGACATGGGTACTGGACATCAGCACTGACTCAGGCTGTGGTAGGTCCACAGACCCAGACATGTTCCTTGGCAGCATGGACGTATTATCAAAAGCAAACTACAGATTCAATGTGATTCCAATCAAGAGCCCCATAACATTCTTTACAGAAATAGAAAAAAAAACATGATTAAGTTCATATGGAAGTGTAAAAGACTCCAGAAGGCCAAAGCAATCCCAAACAAAAAGAATAAAACTGGAGTGATCTATATTGGACTTCAAAGTGATATTACAGGTTTATAGTAATGAAAAGAGCTTGGTACTGTGAGACATATAGGTCT